TTTTAAAATGTTTTAAAGATTTTGAAAAATGGTTTTAAATTTTTATCATGAAAATTAATATGCATAATTTTTATCGCAAATCATTCATTTACATTGAATGCATTTGTATATAGGCATTAGCCTCTTCTATGTTTTTTATTTCAGAATATTATAGATGTACACACTCTTTGAGTACACAATTTGCTTTTGTACACTTTGAGTCAAAGTTACAAGTGTGCCCTGCACCCAGATAGTGTGCATTGTACTCATTAGGTGTAAATTTACCTATCCCCTCCTCCCACCCTCACCTGCTTGATTTCTGTTGAATTTTACTTCCATATGTGCATGTAAGTGTTGATCAATTAGTTCCAATTTAGTATTGAATATATATGCTATTTGTTTTTCCATTCTTGCGATGCTTCACGTAGAAGACTGGTATCCAGTTCCATCCAGATTGTTAAAAAAGATACCAGATCACCATTTTTTATGACTGAGTAGTACTCTGTGGTGTATATATATATACACACATATATGTATATACCACATTTTATTAATCCACTCATGTATTTATGGGAACTTGGGTTTTTTCCACATCTTTGCAGTTGTGAATTGTGCTGCTATAAACATTCAAGTGCAAGTGTCTTTTTGATAAAATATCTTTTTTTCCTTTGGGTAAATACCCCAAATGGTAGGTTTACTTTTAGTTCTTAGAGGTATCTCCCTACTACTTTCCATAAAGTTTGTACAAGTTTGCAGTTCCACCAACTGTGTGTAAGTGTTCATTTCTCTCCACATATAAGACAGCATCTGCTATTTTAGGACTTTTTGATATAAGCCATTCTCATTGGAGTTAGGTGATATCTCATTGTAGTTTTGATTTACACTTCCCTTAGTATTAGAGACATTGAGCATTTTTTCATGTGTTTGCTGGCCATTAGTCTATCATCATTTGAAATGTTTCTGTTCATGTCTTTTTCCCATTTTTGATGGGGTTATTTGATTTTTTTCTTGCCGGTTTCTTGAGTTCTTTGTGGATTCTGGTTATCAGGCCTGTATCAGATGTATAGAATGCAAATATTTTCTCCCATTCTGTAGGTTGTCCAGCTGCTCTATTGATTGTATCTTTGGCTGCGCGGAAGCTTTTTGATTTGATCAGGTCCCATTTATTTATTTTTGTTGTTGTTGTGATTGTTTTGGGGGTCTTCATAAATTCTTTGTCTAGGCTGATGTCTATAAGAGTTTTTCCAACATTTTTTGCTAGAATTCTTATACTTTTCTGCCTTAGGTTTAAGTCTGTTATCCACCATAAATTAATTTTTGTGAGAGGTGAGAAGTGTGGATCCTGTTTCAGTCTTCTACATGTGGCTATCCAATTTTCCCAGCACCATTTATTGAATAAGGATTCTTTTCCCCACTGTATGTTTTTGTCTACTTTTTCAATGATCAGGTGGCAAAATGAGGATGGTTTCCTATCTGGATTCTTTGTTCTGATCCAAAGGTCTGTGTCTCTGTTTTTGTGCCAGTACCATGTTGTTTTGGTTACTATAGCCTTGTAGCATAGCTTGAAGTCTGGTGAAGAGATGCTTCCCAATTTGTTCTTAGTACTTAAGGTTGCCTTGGTTATTCAGGGTCTTTTCTAGTTCCATAGGAAGTGTACAACTATTTTTTTCCAGATCTGCGAAAAATGATGTTGGTATTTTAATAAGGATTGCATTGAATCTGTAAATTACTTGAATTTCTGGAATGCCAGTATTCTGAAGTACTTTAATTTTTGTACATGGAGAAACTATATAATTAATGTTTGTGCAAAAAGAAATATGCCAAGGGCTGGTGCATATTATACCTTTTGGCAGAAGTTTATCTCTTACTCATAAGAGATGTGAGTGCCCGGGGGATGGGTGTTGTCTGACACAGCCATGCACAACCCTTAAATTATAATCTGCTAGAATAATTTCAGTGGTTTTACTGGAGTAAAGGGTATCAGTGTTTGCTGCTTATTTAATTGAGAACCAAAAATAATGCTGAGATGAATGAAGTACATGAGAAGCACACAACA